ATTTTTTTAGAACTAGAGCGTGCTTAAACCTTAATAAAGCACTTGAAATGAAAACAACACACAAAGCCATGTGCCAACAAGAAAAATCATAAATGTTATCAAAGTATGTAGAGGTATAGAACAGGACCAGACTCCCACTAATTATGCTGAATTCCAGACAGAAAGATAAAAGCATTTTAAGAAGCAGCACACTGGCTGTACTGGATTTCCATTGGATTCCCACGTGTCTCTTCCAGATCGGATGACCTCATTATTCCTCATTAGTCTCGCGGAGGCACCTAGGCTGGACTTTAAAGGTGGCACAGAGGTTAATCCTGCAGGAATACACAACCTTCTCCCAGGCATTTGGCTGGTCACTGCAGAAGCCACAAGCCCGAGGTAATTCATTGTTATCTATACTGCCTCGTGCAGTGATACAGCAGATTGCCACCTACAAGAGGATCTTGCAGCCGGATTTTTCCATGGCAAAATGGATTCTACAAGAAACTGTTGCCAACATTCTTTTTCCTTAACATGTTGTATGTCTATATTTAGCCATTTAAATCATTCAACAATCATGTAGAGCCTGCACTGCAGCTTTGAAACAGGTCAAATTAGATGATGCAGTGAAGAGTTTCATTATAAAATGCTGTATATCCATTTGTGACAATTTTGGATTTTGAATTTTGAATGTTTTTGAAAAGAATAATAGCTGATGTATAACGGGAAACATATTATTTCTCTGATAAAGGTAGTATTAATCGTATTGTAGCATTAGTATTTCTTGATGCATAAAGCCCATTCCCAAAAACATAGGTCATGAAAAAAAAAATTAGAATGCATTTTGGAATGAAACTCTTCAAATACATTTGCTGCCATATATGTACACCTAGAACTATTGGTGTGACTTATTTTGGAAGTACCTTGCTATCAGTCGTTGTTGGCTAATCTTACTGGTATACATACTGGTATACATAAAGCATATTATAGGCCCCAAATTATTGAATTCAGCTATTTAAAGGTGCACTGACTGCTGACACAGATGTTCATTTGTGCACTCTCAGCTTGTTTACCACAGAAATTCATTGCCAATAGAATGGGATGCTCTGAAGCAGCCACATATGAGTTTGAGCTCACCATTGTCAATGCCAAGCACTGGTTAGGAGTTTGAAGCCCCCCTGGCTTTGAGCTGTGGAGCAGTGGAATTGCATCTCTGGTGTGAAGGAGCACTTTCTAACACCTTTAGGATGACTTGGAGTGGTGTTTGTGATCCAGAACTAATCATTCAACATTAAAACCTGACCTCTTGTGTAAAGTCCTCTCATAAGAGTAGAGGCTGTTACTGCAGCATAGAAGAGGCATGTCTAATTTGACAACATGGCATGATCATAGCTATCTAAAAATTAGTGTAAATAACATCCCCTCCCTCATCTAAATAATAATAATAAGAAGAAGAAGAAGAAGAAGAAGAAGAAGAAGATTTTTAGAAATTAGATGTTGTTTTTAGCCTGAGTGATTTTCAATATTCCAGCATCTGGGCTGTTGTTGACAAATGACTCCAGGTTGCTGAAGTAGCTGGTGTCTGAACTGTGCGCCAGATTTTGAGTTTTTTTTTTTTCCTTCTCTTTCGAGTTAAAGATTTTCAGGTGATGACAAGTTCACCAGGGCTGGTGTTTAATGGTCAGGGGAGAGGAGCTGCTTTCCAGTTAAAGGGCTGATTTATTAGCTGTTGGTTGCTGTCATGTGCTGGACGTGTAGGGACATTGCGCTGCTGAGAGCTCTCATTACGCAGCAAAACAAAAGCACACCACATCCCTCTGTGTGGCCCTTCCCTCCACGCCAAGATCCCTACAGCACAGCGTAACTCGACCAGCTGAAGCGTGTGTTTATCAAACAGCGCTGGGCTATTTTGGTGTCTGGTGGTGGGACAGTGTGAAGACGGCATGCTGGAGACAAAGATATGAGGAGAGGATTTGTTTACCCTGAACTGCATGTTTTACATTCATGCCCCATAGTGAAGCTGTGAGTTATTCAAGAATAGTTGGGCTTATCTTGCTGTTGATCTTGCTGTTGCATGAAATGATCATTGTGTTCTCTTAAGAAATTTCTTCAAAGCCTTTGCCTTATTCTTTCAGCTCCTGCTGGACTTTGCTATCGCCGCACACATTTTGCTTGTTTTTGGTTTCTTACTCCACAGGTGGAAGTGTGTGATGGTTACATGATAGTGGTGGCGGTTATGAGCATTGTAGCCAAGATTAGCGATATGTCTAGAAAGAAGACCACTGATTTGCATAGAAGAGCAGGAATCCTTTCAGACTGTTGTGTGTGTGTGAGGAAGTGTAAGTGTGTGGTGAAACTATTTAGACTGGTTGGGTAGAGGGTGAGAGAGCAGAATGCTGGGGTTGGGGCTGGCTATAAGCTTTAATTAGTCTCTTGGGGCCAGACAACAGGGGACATGAGAAATGTGGGTGGGAATGTAGAATTTTTAGGGTCAGAAGAAACAGTGTGAAATTTCTAAATCAATCCAACACAAAACTCAAAGTAAGGGATGATGGTTCACTTGTCTAGCTTATGAATGTAGTATAAGTTGTTTACTGAAGATTTTACTGCAAACCAAAACCAAAAGTTTAGCAAGTTGTCCCCAGACATGAACTGTCATTATGAGATCACGTCTAGCCCCTCAAGACTAAGGTTTAAAGTGAGAAGGCACCCCTTGTTGTGGAGCAATGAGCCTAGGGACAATGGTTGCTTAGCTGAAGTGTTTAATTTAGGAGCATGATGGTGAATACCCTAGATCAGGGGTCCCCTGGTCCTATGCTGTGCATTTTGATGTATTCCCTGCGATAAGGATAATCTTATCATCTAATTAAGAAGCGCTTACTAAATTGAAGTGAGTGTTAGAAAAGGGTAAACACTAAAATGTAAAGAGTGGGCAATATGACGATTTGATATTGTTATCACAATAAAGTGTTTTACAATAAGCTTTACTGAGCATATTGTGGATATCATTAGTCCTTCACTGATTGACTGCATGTTTAAAATCCTTCAAAATAGATTTAACCCTGTAATACTGAGGCAAAATCAGCAATTTCTAGCTTTTAACATACTCTTCTCTTTTAATAATGTGATATTTATTTTGATATGTAGAAAACATGAATTTGTCAAGAACTGTTATTGTTACTTTGATTAAACAAATCATTAATAACAATAATAATTCCAAATTCACATTTTTATGAGTTAAAGGAGACATCAGCAAACTCTCTGAACATATCTCCAACAAAACGTTAGATTCGATGGGGTTAACAGGGACATCCTCCATCATCTGGAACATCAGTTTCACCCTAATGATCCAGATGATGGGAGAGTTTAGGAGCACTGATGCTGCACTGTGTCTGTTCCAACTTATTACACTTCAGAAATACAAAATATAAAGTATTGTGCATTGAGGAAAACTGTCATGATATCAAATGATGTTTTCTATATTGTCCACCACTTCTCCAGGACCAGGGCTGCCTTAGATGAAGAGAGTCTGTCTCTTTTTTTAAGAAACATAGAAAATATATGCACCTGCAAACTGGAGATAAGCTTCCAGTCAATGAAATGCTCAGCAGATGACACAGATTATATGAACATGCCCAGTTTAGTGGCAGGGAAGAGGTCTGAAATGGCTGTAATGTGAAATCCGAAGCCCTATCAGATGATCAGCCTCTCACAGAGCTTCTAAAGAGCATCATAAATTAGACAGCTCTTGGGGACTCCTTTTAATCATAGAACCCAGTGCGCTGTTGTGCACTGTTGGTGTGGCTCATGTAATTGGGCTTAGTCTCACATGCTATTTGCAGAGTCAGAGCTTGTTGGCTTGGTGGCTTGTTGGCATGCTGGTGCACGGCACTGTATTTGATAGGCTGCGGCAGGGTGGGGCGTGGGAGGAGGAGTGTGGCATGTACCTAGCCTCCCTTTCCAAAGACAGACATCAAACCAGAGCCAGATTTAAGGGTGGAATAGAGAATTCCAAGATGTACCAAACTGCTGATTAGAATGTAATTCCTCAGGTGTTGTCTATTTGGCTGAGATGTGCTGTATTGTTTGCTAAACAACTGCCATGTATCAGGCTCTTGAACTATAGGCTTATTATTCATTGGTTATTCAGACTTATTATTTGGAAACATACTTAGGCAAAATACTTTAAAAAACTAATGATGGCTGAATATTGAATGCACTGTCCTAAAAGTATTCAGTAACATATTTCATTACAATACATAAAAAAGTTATGTATTCAGAATATATATTTAGAATTCACATTGATAAGGCACTTGGGAAAGCTATTTTTTTATTACTTAATTCACAGTGTTTCTTGCTGCTACTGGTTGGCAGTTTTCTTCATGCAGTTCTTCTGTTAATATGTTTTATGAAATATTTGTTTAACATTTAAATGAATTTCCAAAAATTCTGAACTTTTTTTTATTGCTAAAAAAAAGAGCACAGTAACATTGAGATTAATAACTGACTCATCACTTTGATTCATCAGTCTACTCAGGCTTTAGCAGGAACTTCGGTGTTTGTAAAGAAGCTGTTAATGAATTTCTTCATTAGAGTTTGCCTAACAAGCATGTTTGCTGCATGCCACACGCTGAGGTAGGTACATGCAGTGAGCTGAGGTAGCACCTGACTCATGGCTTCGAATGCATGTGAAAGAGTACAAATGGAAAGAGATCATCTTGATGGTGTGCTGTTTTCCCTCCCCTGCTAAAAGGGGTCACAGGAACATGACCCCCAGCAGTGAAGCTTTGTGCAATCCCAGCAACACACACTCACTCTCCTCAGCCAAAAAGCTCTGTGGGGGAAACGAGCGTGCTGCAGTTTCCCACTGCTCTGAGCAGACATTTGCAAGCATCAAACCATTTTTTACCCATTATCTTTTCACTTCCCTCTCTTAACCTAGATCAGTTCCAGATGAGTACATAGTGATTCATATGATCACGTTTTTTTTCTGTCTCTCTCTCATTCTTGTCATTCTGCAGGATGCAGGATAGAGAACTGTGAGACCTGCTTCAGTAAAGAGCACTGCACAAAGTGCAAGCCTGGGTTTTACTTGCACAAAACCCGCTGCTTTGAGAAGTGTCCTGAGGGCTTTGCACCTCTGGAGGACAGTATGGAGTGTGGAGGTAAGAGAAGCTGCATGTCTGAACACAGATTAGCTGAATAAAGACTAGGGGTGCAAATTTGTGATATCACAACTATTTGATTTGATTATGATTCTTTAGGAAACAATTCATGAAATCTCAAATTTAACCCCAGTTTGATGATTTAAAAAAATAATCTACACTGGATAACACTGGACTGTAGGAAGTGTTTACAAAGTAGTGGAATATAAACAATAAAACAGTACAAAATAAGCCAAAAAAGTAGTTCACAAAATCTCAAAAAGAAAAACAAGAACATACTTTATTTAAATAATAAATGAGTTCTACTGCTTGTACCTCTAAAATGAACTTTACAGGAAAAGGGAAAACATTATTTTAATGGAAGTTAATGTAACATTTTTTTCTAAGTAATTTTGGAGAACTTATGTTAGTTTGTTAATCCTGAAACTTTAAAATAATGCAAATGGTACCTGGAGTTTTCAAATTAAAAAAAGTACAAGCAAAAGTATTTATTGTTGCTGCATCTATCAAACTCTCAGCTCAGGCTACATGGAAGCATCCATAACACTACTACGTTTTTCATTAAAAATAAACTGTTGAAGACCTGGAATAATGTGAATGTTGGCCAATTAAAAGTGGACAAAAAATATACAAACCATGTTTGTATTAATCAGACCATAGAAATTATTTAATTACTTGAAGGTAGGTTTAACCACAGATGTGAGCACTGTGCAGTCCTGTTTAATCTGATTTTTTAAACTGTCAGCAGTTAAGAAAAGCTAATTTGGGTAGCTAACTCATCATTAGGCATGATTAACTTCACATAGACGTTAACATTACTTTTAGCGAACACAGTAACCCAAATAAAGTTTAAAGTTTAAAGCCTGCCTGTTAATAGTTTTGCATTGTGCATGTTTTACTTTCTCATGACGGAAGTAGCATTTAGAGATGACCGTGATTGGCTCAGAGGCATATCAGTCACAATGCTGCAAACGGTCAATATAATCAGTTCTTACCATCCATAATAAAGGCAGTTGGACCATCAGACTAATACTTCCCAAAGCATCAGTGCAGTTTTACACCCCAAAAAAAGACAGTACAGATGCATGTTTGATAAACATGAATGACTGTTATACTCCAAACTATTTGAATTTATGATTAAATTCTGGCCCTCTCCTCCCTTCAGAGGGCTGTGAGGTGGGCCAGTGGAGCGAGTGGGGGACATGCACCAGGAGGAACAAAACCTGCGGCTTTAAATGGGGCTTGGAGACCCGCACCAGGCATATTGTGAAGAAACCACCAAGGGACACAATACCATGCCCTACAATTGCTGAGTCAAGGAGATGCAAAATGCCCATGCGACACTGCAGGAGAGGTAAGATACTCAGCGTGCGTGGGTGTGTGTATGTTGTTGATGCTGTAAACACAAACTGCTTTGGTGTAGGTCTGAACCCAACCTTGTGTTCATTAAAGCTCCATGCTGAGGAGCTTTCTTTCATATTCTCTCGCAGTCAGAGGCCTGTTAAAGGTTTGTAGCAGCACAGGAGCCGTCTCCATCCACACTCACCTGTTTCATCATGATCTGTGTTTTTCTGGTCTACACCGTCCTGTCTAACCTCAAATTCTTTATTTGGATTGTAAGTGCCCAGTGGTATATTTTCATGCATGATACATTAGTGTTTTTCCATGCTCACTTTAGCCGGCCTGCTAGGTTTTTGCCGGAGTATATTTTCTCTTGCCTTTTCCTCTTTCTTCTCGGTGGAATAGCTCAGTGTATGAAGTGCAGGTTTCCTCAATGGCACCCTCTGTTTCCTCTCTTCTATTTGAGACTTATTTGCGGTACGTGCTGCATGTAGTTTCACTTCTAAAAGAGAACTCCAATCTGGGGGAAAATATTTTTATTGTAAACACAGCCAAGGAAACGTTTTTCATAAAGTGTTTAGTCTTGGACAGATGGGCCAAACTCGCTAATGAAAATAATTGCCTTATTCATGGGGGGCTTATCAGGCAAGACATGTAGTAATAATTAATTTTTTTCCCCCTCTGTATTTTCAGTTCTGCTTACCTGAATACATTTATACCTCTTGTGGTGTTTGAGTTATGTTACTGCCACACCAAATGCACATGTAATTTCAATTTTAGGTCAGCGTAGGATAACACATCCTGTAACCCTAGCTATTTTCATTCAAAAATTTCCACTTTCAGTGCTTTGTGTGTGTTTTTGACTTATGTTTTAGTGAAGTGTCAGCAGTTCAAGAGCCCAGAAGTGAAAGAGTAAGGACTGCCTGGCTGGTGGCTCTTTGCTCAAATATCAGTATTTATTCAGTTATTTCCTCCCCTGGGACCAGTTGTCTCCCTTAATATCTTACATTTTTGGATGTAATCAGTTTCACAACAGCCGATGAGAAAACATTGTGAAGAAAATGTGTTTTAAAGGAATTAATACTCTTGATTTTATTATCATTTGTCATGGCACAGATTGTAAATGAATTAGGCATTCTGTACATTGGTCTGAGGTCTAGGGTTTTTGGGTCTTTGTTCAGGTTAGTTGTGGGAATTGCTTTGCAGCTCTAATTGGTTGAATAAATCAAAGATAGGCCATGGTGCTCTTTCCTCTTTCAGCAGTGGAGAGGTAGAGGGAGATTTCAAGGTTGGAAACAGTGATTATCTTGTACCTCGCCCTCCTGTACCCTGCACTGGCTCAGCTTGAGAATTTCCCCTCCTAATTTAGTTCTTCTTGCTTGACCTTTCCCAAAAATATTTTATAGTCCTCTTTAATTAAAAGCTGGCATTGTGATGCACTGTTACTGGCATCAATTATCTGCTATGAGGTTAATGATTGAGGGCCATTGTTAAAGTTTAAATTGAACGCACTGTGGAGCCATTCCTAACCCTTTAGAAAACACTTGTCAACTCAGCTTATGAGAAGTTCCTCCCTGCTGATATGGCTAATGTGAGTCAGAGACAACATGTATGTAAATCTGTCTGAATGAGGGTCCTGTGGGGGCCACAGGATAGTGTGGATACCATTTAGGATACCACAGCTCTGTGAAGTCAATCAGTCAGTGTTGACAGGCCCAGATTTGAGAGGGAATGCAATTAGATGTCATCTACACACCTTATATCAAAATCATCCTATATCATTCTATATAAAACTCACAGTTGAAAGTGTGCAATTTTTAAATCACAAGATCTATTTTTAATTATATCCTACATGATCAGCAATGTCTTCACAGGTATTAAGTGGGGAAATTTGCTCATTAAAGCTCATGAACTGGCAGTCTGGCATGCTACATGCAGAATTCATGCCGCAAAATGCCTAAAAAAATGTAGGCACAGGTCTTCTCGCCCTTCTTGCTGTGAAACCACAGTATTTTTCAGAAAAATCACATTTAGATTGTTTCAACAAATTGCTCAGCCCTACTGCCCTTTCACTTTTATTATCTATAATCATCTATCTATAATTCTACAATCAATATTTTAAATTTCATCCACACCAAGTCGCTTTTGATGTGTGAAATGTAGTAAAACTCAAAAAAGCATCGCAAAGTCATTGTTGTTGATTGCAGCCATGTTTGTGAGTTTGGACTACACCTGAAACTGGGCTGGGAACTTTGAGAAGCTTGGGCAAGAGTTCTGGGGTGGCTTGCTGAGATCAAGGAAGCTGGACCCCCCTGTCCCTCAGCAAGAAAGAGCAGTCATGAAAGAGTAGGAAGAGATGGGGTGGTGGTGAGATGCGAAGTTTTTGACATGGGAAACTGAAGGGAGAGGGGAGAATTTATAGGGCATAGAATGAGGAGGAAAGGGGGAGGAGTTCTGGCCATGGTCCTTCTCCTAAACTTAAGCTATTTCCTATTTCCGTATATTAAATAAACTCTGATTATCACTGTCTAGGGGACCAAATCACAGTATAAGTTGGGCTAAAAATAATAAAAAAAGAAGTTAACCACCACCAATCCAACCCCTGGAAAATTCATTCTCGATAATGTTTCAGCGTGGTTTTAAAATCTAAATCTTTTCCATGCTAATAGAATTGATCCTGTAGCATACAGCAAAATTAGAAGGACGGGAAGGAGAGATGAGAAGGAAAGAAGAGACTTTTACGGTCAAAGTTGTTAGTGATAGCAGAGTTCAGTTCCAAGCAGTAGTAGAAATTTCACGTTGCCAGTGATCCTCTAAAGACAGCCAGAAACAGTTAGTGAAATGTCATGTGCAGATGACCAGGAAATGGCTACAGCCATTGAATAAAGCTCAGAATGCTTGTCTAGAGGCTTTGTCAAAGCAGCAGCCTTGGATAGCATTCGTCCCAGCTGACCTCTTAAATTACATTGGATTCCAGAAACTTGGAAACTGTGAATAAGTCCCTGAACGCTACCTAATACGACAGCTTTACTCAGCTATACAACAAATTAAATCTAGACAAATTAATAGAATTATGGTCAGACTATAAACATGTATGCAAGTGTGTGCATAAGCCCACACGTCACATTGTCAAGCATACAGCACTACATTGGTTCAGAGGCAAAGCCGAAGGAGACTGAGGAGCCAGATCGCTTGTACTATGATATGCCTAAAAGCAGACACTAGACACCAGCCTTTAGAATAAATATTGAGTTACGTAACAGCAAACCTTCTAGATAGCTATGGATTAAGTAGACACAGGAAATCAGAGAGGGGTAAAAAGCTGTAGGTCCACTATTTCTGGCATTATTAATCGGATCATCCAGCTTTTATTACTCTCAGCTTAAATAACGCTACACTTCATTTAAAGACTTTACAGATCTCCATCCTCTAGCCTTGACCTGACCATCTATTTCAGCTGACAAACATATATAATATACATATATATTAAAACTCTATGCCTTAGTGAAATGTTAAACATTCTGATGATGCCATAGAAGTATCTAGACTTCGCAATCTACAGAAGCTACCAGGCGTAAAAAATCAGTTTTGCTTGGCTGCTCCGAGTCGGAGCTTGGGAGTCGGTTGCCGGGCCGACGCTTCCCCGCAGGCATGTCAACCTCCTTCTGGCAGTTTGTGGTGGGACTCCCTGGGGTGGGCTGCTGCGTGGCCCATAAACACTGTTTATTAATAGCCGCTCGACTGCTCGCGAAAATGAAACGCCTGCTGAGCTCCATTCTGCACCTCCCTCTGCCCCTGTCATCAAATCTCTCACTAGCCAGAAGAGAAGAGAAGAGAAGAGAAGAGAGAAGAGAAGAAAGTTAGAGGAGCTACTGTGTAGCCTTCATAGTTGCACCTCTAGAGGCAGTCCTGTCAGCACTATTGCTACTATTCCAGTGACTGATGTTTCCAGCTCTACCTTTCAGCCAGCTTACTGCACGCACACGCTGCCCAACAGCGTTACGGAAGGAAGTTTTCCCTGGTGCTCCTAATAACCCGCGTCCGCCTCCCCTGTCTCAACACCATGTCACTAATGATAACTGTTGTGTAAACAACTCGTAACGTTATTGCCTCAAAATGCCTCCTTAATCTCGCATTAATTCCCCAGTGATGGATTTAGAGTGATTGAGGTTATATACAAACACACCATTGGACTTCATTCGCTAATTTTGCTGATGGCAGCAAAGCAGTTTTTACATTCTCAGACGGCGGATAATAGCATGATGAAGACAGACGTAATTGTGCATGTGTGAGCATTAATATTCAGCTTAGTAGGGGAAAAAGCACTCTTTTGGGTAACAGTTAGGCACAAAGGCAGTGATGTGATATGCAGGATGTGAGAGAGGGAGACACTTCAACTATTGACTTGGAATGGTCTCTGGATTAAGTACCTTTTATGCCTTGGGCTAAAATAGGGGTGTCTAGCTTTATCCACGGATGGTTGGTGTGACTGCAGGATTTCATTCCAACGAAGCAGGAGCACCCATGATCGGTTGTTTGAAGACTGAGACCAACTGATTTAACAAACAGAACCTTATACAAAGTCACTGGACAACTTGGAGAAGAGAACCAAGTGTTTGATTCTGTTAAATGAGCTAATAGATGTCTGTGATTGACTAGCATCACACTGATCAATACAAGGTGATTCTTCAGTTGTGCTCTTGGGTTCCCGGTCTCCTGACAATAGGGTAAACAGTAAACAGTCACACCACTGAAGAACATTTGTAAAGTTTAAAGAACATCCATACAATGTAGCGGTTCTATACCACTTACAGGTTTTTAGACAGCCATGGCCAAGAATCAATTAGGATCCTCATTATAACGGGTGAAACATATGCCTTCTGCCTCCTTCGCTTGGACAATTTACTTTCCTACTTGTCATTGTGGGCTTGTGTCAATATATGGCCATTTCCTGCCTTATTCCCTAGCTGAGTATTACAGGTCACCTGGCATTCAATATTGTGCTTTGTTTAA